CACGTGCGCAGTGGCCGCTCCGCCGCATTTAGCCACTGGAAGGCCTCAGGGCAAGTTTACAATTCGGGATGTCCAATGTATTCTTTCTGGGCTGGGAAAAATCACTGGGAGCAACATGCATCAAGTGTACAACTCGGGGACTCTGAAGCTACGCCAAGGACTGAAATACAAATTCGGAACTGGGAAAGCACGGGGGGGCAACAGAAAAGCAATTGGAAGGCCTAAGGGCGAGTATACAATCGAATATAAAATCCGTTGTTGGGGGCTGGGAAAAGGCACTGGAAGCAACGTTTAGCATGAAGGCCTCAAAGCAAGCAAACAATGGGGGCCTCTGGGGCCACCCCGCAGGACTCAAATGCTTCTTTCGGCTTCCCATGTTTATTCCATATTTCGTGTTGCTCGAAAAGCATTCAGGCAAACGCTGCGTGCAAAAAGCTGTCCAGTGGGGCCACATATGCGTTAGTTCCAGCCGCTGGACACCGCAAGACTGCGGTATTTTCTCGAAAAGTGCAAAACAGGTGTTCTGAAACGCATGTGTTGAAAAATCTTCATCTCTTTGTCTATCTTACCTATGTATCTACCTTTTTCCATCTATCTGTCTATCTATCTGTCTGTCTGTCTGCCTGTCTATCTTTCTCTATCTATCTTGACCGATCAACCTATCTATCTACCGATCTCTATCCAGCTGGCTAGCTTTCTATCTATCTCTCTCTATCGTTTTATCTGTATATCTATATACCAATCTCTCTATGTATCCACCTTGTCTATCTGTTGAGCTTTCTTTATCTATCTCTCTATTTTTATATATCTATCTATTTACCTATCTGTCTACCAATCTCTTTTGAACCTATCTTTCTTTCTTTCTCTCCACCTATATATCTATGAGTCTATCTATTTACCTATCTGCCTATCTATCCATTTATCTAGTCATCTCTCTACCCGTACCTATGCGAAAGTGATACGCCTGCCACGGAATCTGTGCTGGACCTTACGAAAGTGCTGCGCTTGCCAAGAAATGTCTACCTCACCTTGCGAAAGCGTTACGCCTGCCACGGTGTCTGCGCTGTGTACCCGACCTGGCGAAGATGATGCGCCTGCCACGGAACCAGCGCTCGACCTTGCGAAAATGCTGCGCCTGCTACTCGCAAAAGCGCTGCGCCTACCAGGAAACCTGCTTTTGACCTTGCGAAAAAGCCTTGCGAAAACGCCGCGCCTGCCTTGCGAAAAGGCCGCGCCTGTCAGGAAATCTGCACCTGACCTTCCAACAGCGCTGCGCCTGCCACGCGAGTCAAACCTTGTGAACCCTTGGCGGCGCCGCGCCAATGGGCCTGCGCTCCGAGCGCGCTCCGCGCGTAGCCCGAACGCGCTGCAAACGCGCAGGCGCCGCGAACGGCTAGCTGTCACCTCTCCGGAGACTCACGCGCAGAGTTACGCTGTCGGCACCCACCACACGCTCGCGCACGCTTTCTCGCAAGCTTTTAAACTTCTTTGGCTACTACTAATCTTCTCCCCCAATAATAAAACGCGCCCTCCCCCATAAGAAAAAGAAAACCCCTGCCATCAAAACAATTTGGAGGTACCTTTGTAGTACAGCCACAGAAAAGGAAACGTGCCCGGAGCTCCGGCGCAACTTTGTAGCACAGCCATAGTAAAGGTAGTAAAGGAAACCCCCCCTGTCCCCTAATGGGGGCTGGATTTGAGTACGGGCAGGAAAGACTTATTCTTGAATTGGCTTAGTATTGGCTATTCTGAAAGCAGTTTTCCCGGATTTTGGACTTTGGAAACAATTTTTCTTCTTGGAGCCATTTATTAATAGGGGAACGGATTACTACAACTAGAACAACTACTACATGAACATAGTGACCAACCCACATTCTACACATCGGCAATGACAAGTTGGCCTCAAGGGCGTGAGGAATCAAGGAAGCATCACTGCGCGCGCCACAAAGGCAATCAGACCCTGAGGCTGCGCGCCCGTCACTATGAAAGACTGTTTCGTTCCAGAAACTCATTTCCACAGCGCAGTGAGCGGTCCCTAGTCGGCTGGCAATGAGTTTGCAGAAATGATGATCGCTCCCGCGAACACACATGGCACCCAGCCATGGTTCAGTTGCGTGTTGCCAGCCAAGGGCAGGCCTCATTTGCGCAGCAGCCTACACCCAATCACGAAGACCAACTGCGGGCACGCAGCTTGCCTCATCCTAAAGACCGTTCTAACCGGGAGTGTAACCATCAATGGGACACAATGGCTTCACGTGAAATTGGCTACAGTCACTCAACATCGGCTTGCACGCAGGCCATTGTGAAACGGGCCTTGTGTTAATCACGCGCTTCGTCCACAACGGCTTGCCGGATTGCACTGAGCAGCCGTTGCGGCTGTGGCCCCGCGCAGCTCCGTCCAATGGGAAACCAGACCGTGTGAAACTCAACACAGTGACAACACTGCTAGTGCCAGCCTTTTCCAAATTTGAGAACTGCCACCGCGGTTGCCATGAAGCGCTCGCGGGTGTGCCATTGAAACCCAACCTGGCTCCCTAGCTTCAGGTTGGCTTCAGGTTGGCGAGCTTGCCTTGGCGCGGTAGCCTGCGAGCTTCAAACTCCTTTTGCCCAGCAAACACTGCAAGAGCCAAGTCTCGCCTCAAACACAAAATAACGAGAGCAGGCTGCATTGCCGGACTTAAGCTAGACTTGAGCCAACTGGGTCACTGTGCTGGGCACTGGTGCTGGGCGAACTGGTTTCAGCCCAAGTTGGAAAATGAGGCCTGCCAAACAAGTCCTTTCAATCAGCCTAGTCATGTGATGCTGTCAAGCTGTGTAGTGGTTTAAGACGAGCTTGAAGCCTGGCGCAAGAAAGCTGATCGATTTTTCATTGACGTGATTGGTAATAGCAGCTTCAGCGCATCATGCGCTGTACTGCTTGTGGGTTGAACGCCGTTTCATCTCCCCTGTATTAGCGCCTTGACTCTTCAGGCGCAGAGCGCCTCAGGAGGAGGGTTCCAAATTAATGAGTTCCTCATCAGCTTACTCCAGAATTATTAAGCTTGCAACGCGCAACGCTGAGAAATGGCAACGCAAGTCGACTCCAACGACATGCAAACCAGACTCAGAAAAGACTCCACAGACAAAAGTCTTGACAGGAGCAAGCAGTGATTGGCACTGAGCCCTCACCCATCAGCACTGCATGGCAAGGTTGTTCAGCTGTAGGCGCTGGCTCAGCATGTTTGGCAGTTGAAGCTGATGAAGATGAGGCCGCTGCTGTAGGTGAAGATGAGGCAGTTGCCGCTGGCACAGAAAGCTCGCTCTTTTTTTTGGTTCCGGACCCAGCAGCAGGTGATCGAAATTGGAATCCTGCCCTCATTCACAATTGTCTTTGTTGGCCTAGAATTGTTTATGGCTCGCCCCCGCACCAGGACGGCAATGCCACGCAGTGCCCCTGGTAGCTGGTGACCCATACGCCGGACGGGAAAACTGGGCGTTGTTTTTCGTTTTTGTTGGTTTTGTCGGGTTTGGCTGGCTTCTTGTGATTGCCAACGTTTGGCTTTCGTTCTTGCTCGTTGCTTTAGCCTGGTGCTCGCTGTTGTTGCTGTTGTCAGTTGTTAGTTGTGCGACGTTTGTTGCTAGTTGTTTGTTCTTTGTTATTTGTTTGTTTGTTTGTTTGTTTGTTTGCTTGTGTCCGTTTGTTTGATTGTTTGTTTGTGTTTGTTTGTTTGTTTGTTTGTTTGTTTGTTTGTTTGTTTGTTTGTTTGTTTGTGTGCTTGTTTGCTTTGATTGGTTGGTTGGTTGGTTGGTTGGTAAGTATGTGTATAAACATGTATGTAGGCATGTATGTATGTATGTACGTACGTATGTATGTATGTGTGCTTGTATGTGTAAATGTATGTATGTATGTATGCATGTGTGCATGTATGTATGTCTGTGTGTATGTGTGTATGTATGTATGTATGAATGTATGTATGCATGTATGTATGTATGTGTGTATGTGGTAATGTGTGTATGTATGTATGTATGTATGTATGTATGTATGTATGTATGTATGTATGTATGTATGTATGTATGTGTGTATGTTATGTATGTATGTATGTGTGTATGTATGTATGTATGTGTGTATGTATGTATGTATGTATGTATGTATGTCTGTGTGGATGTGTGTCTGTCTGTCATGTGTAACGCACTGAAACCGCAATGCGTTAACTTATGTCATGGCAATATTGAAAAGTTTCACAGGCGTGACTTTGCCGGGGAGATCCAGAAATGAGACGCCGCAGTTGGTTTTAGAACTTGCACAGATAGACTTACGCAAAATGGGTCTACTTCTGAATGTTCGTGCATCGCCCTCTAGTTGTTTGACGCGCGTGTGGTTCCTTGTTCTTGTTTTCCTGCGGCTGCGAAGCAATCGGTCACATAACTTCTGGTGGGCAAGTTGTGCTTGCCAGCTCCAGTGGTTGAAGCTCAGAAGTCGATACAAAGATACTTTCGGGTTTCCCTTGAGGAAATGCCGTCGCAGTGTATGCTCGTGGCGTGTGTGGGTTTGTTGTTTTTGAGCAGCCCGCGGTAGATCAATGCGTCTCTGCTCAACGTACTTGTGAGAGGAGGTCCTTAAATTGCGTGGCTGACGTTGGTGATGTTCAGCCAAGACTTAACCAAAAACGCCCTGGAGCAATATATGATGGAATGGCTCGTGAGACTCTGCTTTTTGGGGTTACTGCAAGAAGAAGCACTGCTGAGCTTTATCTCCAACGCAAGGCGAATGGGAGAGTTGGTTTTGAGCCAAAGCACACTGATTGTGAGGAGATCAAGTGTTGTGCAAAGCCAGAACCCCCCCCCTCAACTTCAAAAAAGTTCAAAATCAGATGTTTAACTTCGCCAACCCACTTGGGTATCCGGGCATGTGTCAAAACAAGGGCCCAAAGCAGCAATTTTTGCTGTGGTTCAATGTTGAATCAGGTAAAAACGGCCTGAAAAAACAAACCGACGCGCAACAACTCCCGCTAGCAAGGCGCTCCGTTGCTGCCGCCCACCGTGAAGCTCACGGCCTAAACGCGGGTGTTGTGCCCCGTGCACACTAAGCCATCGCGGGAAGCCCCCCCCAGCGTCCATTCTGCCTGACAGGCGTCAAAGAAAAGGATATGGCAAAGCGACAACATGGAAGCCTAACAAGGCAGTGGCTGGTGCGCTTTTGGCTTCCTTCAATGCCCGCAAGCAAGGACCAAACACCAAGAGATGCGGGCCCACATCCCAAGCCATCGGGCGAGGGCTACCAAGCTTGAAGCCGAGAACCACCAAGGTTGACGCCGGGATATCACATTCTGCGTTTGGACCTACAAAAGTGTCAGCGTGCTGGGTGCCACCAGACCCCTGGACAGCGAACCATCCACGCACACTGCTTTGCAATTTTTCCGTCAACAAAAGAGCCGAGGGCCTTGCAAAAAGGTGCTGAGAAATGGGGAAGACGTGCGCCTGGACAACCGAAACTAAGGCTCGGCTTCTTGAATTTCTTGACAAATCCCTGGAAAACGGGAGCAGACAATCAAGTCCCGCCGCAGCTGGCTGGCCGCCGACCTTGGAGTCTGCCAACCCAATGTCCAAGGTGTAGATGCAAACGAAGTTGTCCAGGCTCCACACCTCGAGCAACAGCAAACCCCTTGCACGATCAACTTTCCCCTTGTCCGTCGAAGATTGCAATTTGTTCCAAGCAGAAACCATGCAGCATTGGCAAACGCAAAAGAAATGCAAGCAAACCCAGTCGTGATTTAAAAGCATTGACCAAGGTGCGACTTTTCCTGAGGGCCCCTCTTTGTTGGTGTGACAGGCACAGCCCAAAAAACAGCCGTTTCGGAAGCCGCTCATCTTTGCGAAACCCGAAACATAAAAAGTTTTGCAGGGCCTCCGCGCCTGCACACGCAAGTCAAGGGCACAGGAGACCGCAAAGCCTCCCGGAAAGGAGATCTGGCAAAGTGTCTTGCCCTCAAAAAACGACAAGCAAGGAAGCGGGTGAGCGCACGCTGCGAGACACCCTTCTCTGGTCGGTGGTAGAAAGTGACCATCTCGACCTGAAACTGCTGCAAAGGTCTTAGCACAGAACCTAGCCTTCTTGCAAGCTTTTGGCGGCTCAGATCACCGGCTGAGGCGCGCGCAGGCCTTGTGTGGCCATGAAAAGTATGCTCCAGCCTGCGAACGCTGCCCGCAGAGTACGCAAACGAGTCAGACCGACTGCCCGAGCACGGGAACCATCGAGACCAACCTTGTGCACAGGCCATCGGCCTTTGGATCAGAGCCAGGTAGGTCGAAGGCCTGAGAACTCGCGAAACATCAGCACACCTTGTCCACTCAGCAGGCACCTCTTTGCAAGTGCTTCCATCTTTGCAGTGGCCCGCTCGGGGAATCAGGGCTGCGGCGAACATAACTGTGGAGGCCGCTCAGAGCAGAGGATCCGTCCGACATTTTTTTGCGCGCCAAACACCACATGAAAGTGGGAGGAAACCCCGCCCTACTAGGACGTGTAGTGCTTATGCGAAGCTCCAAAGGACCTCATAACCCGGCCTTTCAAGGTTGCGCTAAGTTCTGCCGAAGTTAATGCAACTGACTTATCAGGACTTATGACTATGCTCTCTAAGTTCACTACGTTCAGATAAGTTCATGAAAGTTCCGGTTCGGAGTGAGGGGCGAGCGCGTGAAAAACGTGATTTCTGGACAGAGACTTGGCAAGCCGCACCTGAAGTGGCAGGGTTCAGATAGATGTACATCTCGCTTGGCCGTGCAGCCTGTTTTGGGACACTTACACCGTAAGCGCTCTATCAGGAGTTTAGCTAAATTGCTACGTTTGCTGAGTGCGACTAAGTTCTTTCGCCAAGAGCGAGAGCCGCATCGAGCCAGTAAACTTCGCATACGACGCTTGTACTTACAAGTTGCGACTTTGGAGTTGGGGCTGCCAAAGTGCATGTCGGAAACTACGCTCGTACTGAAATGTTGCGACTTGTGATATTTTGCGCTAACGTCCTTCTGCGGCTTTGAAGCTGGAGCTGGCAAAGCGCTCCTTGTGCACAACTACACTCTTGCGCTGCGAGCCACCTTTTCGGCTCTATCGCTTTGCTTGAAGGGTTCCCATTTGGACTCCATCCTTTCTTTGGGGGGCTGCTTGTTTAGCTCCATTGGGGTTTTTGGAGAGTTCCTTCCTGGGTTCCTTCGTTTTGGTTCCGAACTGGATTCTGTCGCTGTTGGGGTTCCTATTTGCGTTGGTCAGCTTTTGGTCGCGGGGGTCTTTTTTGGGTTACGTCTTTGTTTTGAAGGGTTCCTTGTTGAGTTCTGTCTTTTTTGGAAGGTTCCTAGTTCACCTCCATCATTTTGGGAGTTTTTCGCAATTTCTTGGAGGGTTCCTTGTTGGGATCCATCTTGGAGCATGTTATCCCGGTCAAAAGGCTGTTTTTCAAGAGAGTTTGTTCTCTTCTGTAATTTGCCTCGTTTGCCTTTATTTGGCCGCGTGACACAATATAATATGTAAAAACAAAGAAACGACCCATGTTTTCCGCGCAACGCCTTGTGACAAGAAAACACTTTCTTGGCGCTCTAGGATCGCGTTCTTAGAGGGTTCCTGCGCGGGCTCCGTCCTCTTTTGGAGGGCTCCTTATTGGAATTTATTTTTGGGGAGGGTTTTCTTTGGGTTCCATCGTTCTTTTGGAACATGTTTTGGAGGTTCCAAATCCTGAAGCCCTCAAGTCAAAACGCACGATTTTACACGTACGATTTTTTTCTTCGTCGTGCGCCTTGTCGGCCCTTGTTTTGCCGTATAAAACTCGTGTGTTGTTAGCAAGGTGCTGAAGCAAAACGGAAACGTGTTTTTCCTGCCATATTGCAATTTTGCCAGGCAAAACCCTTGAGCTGAAAACCGCCTTTTGGCGCCAAGGTCTTGCCTTGGGAGGTTCCTTTTGGGCTTGGGCTTCATCATTTTTTTGGGGGTTCCTTTTCTGTTCCACGGTTGTTTTGTAGGAACAACTGTGCTCGGGCCCAACGTGTCCCGACTACATCGGTTCTGCATTGTATTTTCCGATTTATTTTTTGACGGTTGTCTGAAATTCCTTGTTCCGGAAACCGCCAGCTTCGCGAAAAACAAAATTCGCGGACCCCATGGCGGAACTTTCGGGAGGCTGTTTTCAGAACATTCATCACAAAAGTAGTGCACGAAGCACATTTTCGCAGCCCAAGCTCGAAAGTCGCACCTTTGCAATACGAAAGTAGTACGAAACGCAAACTTCCGCAGCTCGACTTGAATGTCGCAACTTTTCAATACGAGCGCAATACACGAACTAAGGCTTCTGCGTCCTTGAAATCAACACGAAAGTAGTACACGAAGTAAATTTCCACAGCCCCAGCTCGAAAGTCGCAACCTTTCAGTTCGAAGCGCGCTTCCGCGGCACACAAGAGGACGCGTTGGCCTCATGTCCGGAAACTGGCGGGGAGGTCCGTCGACTTTCGCGACACTTTCGCGGATCTTACGACAAACGTTTGCGAAATCCGAAAGTTGCACTCAACTTGACCCGAAAGCTTCTTGCAGCGGCGTACTCTTGCGGCGACCCTCAGGCCACACGTTCCCCGACCAACTTTAGTCTACGAACATTCTGCACGCACTGCCGGCGAATACGCATTGTTTGATTATTCCAAGTTTTGTTAGCAAGTTACATTTCCATAAAACTTTCACGAACAAAGATCTAACTTTCGCGACCCCCTTCGCGGAACTTCCGCGGAGGTCAACGCTAAGACCAAAAGGTCTTCCCTCTTCAAAGCTCAATACAAGGACCTTGCGGACGACTCTCATTTATGCATTTGTTTTTTGTGGTTTGCAGGACGCGAAGGGTGTTGCTGGTACTGCTGGGGTGGCGCTAGCGCCGCTGGCCATAAAAATTGGTTCCTCATATTTTAAGGGGGTGTTGCTCTAAAATCTGAGATTCAGAAAAACAGTTCTGGTTTTGTCAGCTTCTGAAACATGTAGGTGGAAGGGTCTGAAAAAGTCTGGACAAATCTGAATGTGTCTGAATCTGAGTTCTAAGTAAACAGCGCCAAGAACATCTGAAACATGCATATTGCTTCAGACTTTCTTCAAACTTTGAACCATATGTTCTGATTGCGAACCCCTTGTACTTGTTTTGCTTCTTGGCGAGTTGTCGGACAACCTATGCTGAATAAGTTCTGTTTTGAACCCCAAACAAAGGATACACACGTGCTGCGCCTCAAGAACCATTTAGATTCGCGTGCATCACTCGGGTAAGACCATCAGGAGTAAAAAACGTTGATAAAAGGTCATCACAGAAACTGCGATGAAGCTAGGTGAGATAACGCAAGGGCAAGCAGAGACAGGCGCTAGTTCTTACTTGAGAAAATAAAAGCACGAAAGGTGCGTCAAGAGGGCGTCCTGCGGCAAGCAATCCAGGCAAAATCTGCATCAAGCAATCCAAGACAGATCTGCGGCAAGTAATCCGGGCAACAATCGAGGCAACATCTGCGGCAAGCAATCCACGCCACATCTGCGGCAAGCAATCTAGGCAACATCTGCTTCTAGCAATCCAGGGAAAAGCTGCAGCAAGCAATCCCACTGCGGCAGGCAACCCAGGCAAAAACTGCATCAAGCAATCAAGGCAAGACCTGAGGCAAAACCTGCGGCAAGCAATCCAGGCATCAGTGGCAAGCAATCCACGCAACATCACCCAGGCAAAATCTGCATCTAGCAATCCAGGCAAGAAATCTGCGGCAAGCAATCCAGGCAACATCTGTGGCAAGAAATCCTCAATCAACGCAACATCTGCGGCAAAATCTGCATCAAGCAGTCCGGACAAATTCTACATCAACAAAATCCAGGCAAAGTATGCATCAAGCAACCCAGGCAAAACCTGCATCAAGCAATCCAAAGAAAACCGACGGCCAATCCAGGCAAAATCCAGCAACCGCAAAATCTGCTTCCAGCCAGCTAGGCAAAACCTGCACTGAGCAATCCGGGCAAATCCAAGGCAGAGGGGGGTGTGGGGGAAAATATGTAAAGTGCAGTTTCTAAGGTTTCAAACGTCTTCTGTGGTTTTCTAATAGTACTATTCTGCATAATAATTCATCACAATATCATCATATTCATCTACATCACGCATCTCCTTCAATTTTTAAAACAAACATCAGAAAATCCTAGAAAATAAAACTCCAGAGAACTAACCCGCAGAAGCTACAATCCCTGAAGCAAATCTGACATATTTTTGCTTTTGTTGTAACAGCTATGACTTTCAAAAGGTCAGGTAATAGCTTCAAATATGCAATCTACATAGTTGCCAGTACCATCTCCGTCTATGTCTTTGATAATGTCTTTCCCATTGTCGAATAATGTATTCCCAAAAGAATACAACAATTAATCGACTTATTCTTACACTTAGTGCCGTAAAAATACCATACACAGTGCTTAGTTGCTCCGTGTTCCTTTAAGACCTCTTTGGTGCTTTTTTCACTTAATGAACGCAAGCCAACCCGTTCAATCGAAGAACGCAGTTTTCTGACAAATGCTGTAATGGTTTCATTCTGTCTGCCTCGCCAAACCTTTTAATCAATGCCCACTACTAAAGGATTCATCAAGTTCGTTTTCAAACGCCTTCTGGGAATCTTAAGGTAAAATGTATCGGAAATCCGTGACATGTCAAAAAGCGTTTCATCTGTATTCTAAGCTTTGTATATCTGTTTTATTACGTTCTTTAACAGAACTCCTGTTCTGGGTCTCTAGTTGCGCAACATTGACTACAACACGCATTGTACTCACTTCCTTTGTTACAAACATTAGAAGATAAGAACTTATGTAATGTCAAACTAACATCATTCCTCAACTTTTACAGCAGTCACATTTCCTATAAACAAACAGCGTCAGTCATGCCCTCACTCATATGTGAGGTCATTAGTTCTTGAACAACGACCAAAACAAAATAGATTACTTACTTAAAAGGGTGAAGCATCAATACCCAAAAGAAGCAGTAGAGAGTTAACAACCATGTGTACTGATCAAAGAAATACAGATACAATAGGCATAAACAAATATCAAACGTAATGAAGAAAAGTGTGATTAATAAAGGCTACACATGAATACCGGAGTTGGACACAAAAGAATACCTTTCGCCTGGGAATGAAAAAGCACGACCAAATATGCGATACGAAAAACTTTAGAGCTCCTGAAGTTCAACCAGCTTTCAGAAGATATGCAAGTTCTATGAAAATGGCGAATAAAAACATTTTGAAGGTGTAGCTGGTTAATCAGAGCTAGTCCGACTGGCACGGTG